AGGTAACTAAGAGGATAGATGAGGGTAGGGCAGTGGATGTTGTCTAATTGGACTTCAGTTAGGCCTTTGACAAGGTCCTGCATGGCCGACTAGTCATGAAGGTTAGGTCGCATGGGATCCAGGGAGAGCTAGCTAATTGGATTCAAAACTGGCTTGAATGTAGGCAGCAGAGGATGATAGTTGAAGGTTGTTTCTCAGACTGGAGGCCTGTGACTCGTGGTGTGCCACACGGGTCGGTGCTGGGACCTTTGTTATTTGTTATTTACACAAATGATCTGGATGTGAATGTACAAGGTGTGATTAGTAAATTTGCAGATGATACAAAATTAGGAAGTGGGCTGAGATTTGGCAAATGCAATTCAATACAGATAAGCGTGAGGTGTTGCACTTTGGAAAGTCAAACCAAGACAGGATTTATACAGTAAATTGTAAGGTCCTGAGGAGTGTTGTGGAACAGAGGGACCTAGGAGTACAAGTATATTGTTCATTGAAAGCGGCATCACAAGTGGGGTGGGGGTGAAGAAGGCATTTAGCATGCTGGCCTTGAGTATAGGAGTTGGGATGTTATTTTACAGTTGTATAAGTCGTTGATGAGACCGCACTTGGAGTATTGTGTACACTGTATTTTGGTCACCCTGTTATAGGAAAGATATAGTTAAACCAGAAAGTGTGCAAAGAAGATTTACAAGGATGCTACCAGGACTAGTAGGCCTGAGTTATAGGGAGAGGTTGGCCAGGATAGGACTTTATTCCTTGGAACGTAGGGGATTGTGGGGTGAACTTATTGAGGTGTATAAAATCATGTGGGACATAGATAGGATGAATGTATATAATCTTTTTTCCAGGGATGGGCAATTGAAAACTAGAGGGAATAGGTTTAAGGTGAGAGGAGAAAGATTTAAGAGGGACCTGAGGGCCAACTTCTTCACGCAGAGAGTGGTGCGTATACGGAATGGACTGCCAGAGAAAGTAGTTGAGGCAGGAACAATAGCAACATTTAAAAAAACATTTTGATAGATACATGGATGGGAAGAGTTCAGAGGGATAAGGACCAAATGTGGGCAATTGGAATGAGCTGACTGGACATCGTGGTCAGCATGGACCAGTTAGGGCCGAAGGGCCTGTTTCCATGCCGTATTACTCTATGACTCTGTGACTCTAGTTGGGTAGCAAAAAATATTGCTAGTCCTGCGCCTTAAGCAGAGAAAATGCAGATCAGGTTATTCACCATGGGAAATGCAAGTGAGAGCACACACTCAGCATGAAGACCAAATTCATGAGGAGTTAAAAGCAGGGTAAAGATTTTGCTAATTGAAGCCAGAGGAAAAATGCCCAATAAGACATTCTGGTGAAGATGGTATATTTGGAAAGAGAAAGAACAGAGGTAATCTCTTCGGTGATGTGAAACACTGGACTGGTTCCAGGAGATTGATGAACTGCATAGTGTAACAGAATTACTGGTTTTGGTGGTCAGAAAGGGGCAAATTCGGTTTGATTGTTTAAACGTTACCTACCATTTGTTAAATGTTTAATTAATAACATGTTTTCCTTAGTCATTGGTACAGTGAAAGTTCTTTTACGATGTGAAATATTGATGTGTCATCCTTTTGTCTGAGGTGGATCACAAATGCCTACCAAGCTGAATATCCTGTTTCTGTGTAGTAAATACGATGTGAAACTATATAATAGTAATTTATTAACACAGTAATTAATTGTGAACAAAACGAATACATATATTTTTAATATGTGCAAGTGTTCATTTAAAATTATTGGATTCATAAATATAACCAATTATGTCCAAAATTGTTTCTCAAGCACACTAACGGAATTATAACAGGTCTTACTTTAAATTTAAAGTCCTCAAATATCGAATTTGTATCTTTTATAGTTAAAGTAAACTTAATGAAGATTTCAAGTTTGCAATTAAATTTCCCAATCAAGTACAAAACCCAAAGCTCAGCTTCCAACATAGAAAATTTGCTTCTTTGGGTGGAAGATTAAACATGTTTATCTTTCTAGCTACGAAAACCAAGAATTATACGGCATATCTTAGACAATACAACAAAAATCCACCAGAGGTCAGAGACAACAAGGTACAGAGCTGGATGAACACAGCAGGCTAAGCAGCATCATAGGAACAGAAAGGCTGACGTTTCGGGCCTAGACCCTTTCTGATGAAGGACCTAGGCCCGGAACATCAGCCTTTCTGCTCCTATGATGCTGCTTAGCCTGCTGTGTTCATCCAGCTCTGCACGTTGTTGTCTCGGATTCTCCAGCATCTGCAGTTCCTACTATCTCCACCAGAGGTCATCTCACTATTCAGAATATTTAACTGTAAATTTTCCAGAACTAGAGGCCTGCTTTCAATGAATTTAATTATCCAGAAACACAAGCCCTGATTTTACCCTGGGGTGCGACATTTTAATTCTCAGGCTTCATGACACGAAATCAGTATTCTCCTACTTGTAACTGGCAAGAAGCAGCAGCAGGTGATAACGGACTGTGGCATTTGACACTATCCACGATTAAGTTGACTTGGATGAGGAAAGTGAATGTACTATAACTAAGTTTGCGATAATGTAAAAATAGGTGGGAAGGCACCAAAGAATCTACACAGGGTAGCAAATGGGCAAAAAAATTGGCAAATGCAATATAATGTGGGGAAATGTGAGATTATGAACTTTGGCAGGAAGAACAGAAGAGCTGAACAGTAGTTTAAAATGGAGAAAGACTACATGAATCTTAGTCCGTGAATCACAAAAGGCTAGCGTCCCAGTAGTTCAATGTGTAATAGGCAAGGCAAATGGAATGTTGGCTTTATTTCAAAGGAATGGAGTATAAAAATACAGAAGTTTTACTAAAACCATACAAGACACTAGTTTGACCATAGCTGGAATACTGTGAAGTGTTTTGGGTCCTTTATCTAAGATATATTGGTATTGGAGGCAATCCAGAGATGGTTTACTAGGCTGATAAGAGGTATGGAGGGATTGTCTTATGAGGAGAGATTAAGTATTCTGGATTTGTACTCATTGGAATTTATAAGAATGAGGGGGACCTTATTGTAACATACAAAATTCTTAGGGGCAAAAATAGAAATTGCTGGAAAAGCTCAGCAGGTCTGGCAGCATCTGTGGAGAGAAATCAGAGTTAATGTTTCGGGTCAAGTGACCGTTCCTCAGAACCAGTCAAGGTCTTTTCCCCAGGTTAGGGGAGTCTGAAAAGTAGAGGGCATAGGTTTAAGCTGAGAGAAGAAAGATTTAAAAGGGACCCGAGGGGCAACTTTTTCACACAGAGGATGGTGCATGTATGGAATTAGCTGCCAGAGGAAGTGGTAGAAGCTGGTACAATTACAACATTTAAAAGGCATTTGGATGGGTAAATGAATAGGAAGGTTTGGAGGGCTTTAGGTCAAATACTGGCAACTGGGACAAATTTAATATAGGATATCTGGTTGGCATGGATGAGTTGGACCAAAGAGTCTGTTTCTGTGGCTTACATCTCTATGACTCTACGTCCTTAAATGAGGAGACCAATATTATACTCCAGCTGTAGTCTCACCAATACTGTATGTAGCTGATAACCTCTTCTGAATTCAATTTCTCTCACAATAAACAATAACATGTACTAACGTTCCTCATTACTTCTTATACTTGCATACTAACCTTTTACAATTAATTTACTAGGCTACCCAGATTCCTGTGCAACTCAGAGCTATGCAATCTCTAAC